CCTCCCTTTTTCTGGCATTGCAATGTGAACTTTTCAACCGCGCCCCAAGCCAGCGATTGCGCCCTGATATTACCGGGCCAAAAGACTGTCTGCTCGGGTCCATACGACACCAGCAGTGCAATTCAAAGCATCGCACAGGTATGGTGCTTGATGAGGTGTGATGCATCAAGATTTTCAGCGCTTGGCCATGGGCAGTGTGACAAGGTGTTTGGTCCCACGTGATGTGTTGTGCCATTCCCCCACCCACACGCGGATCATCGACGCAGTCGGTCCGGGCCGCTCCCAGCGCACGTCTCCCGCCGCTCGGCCAGCTCCTCCGTCTGGCGTCCAGGCCGTGTCACAACAGCCGGCCGCGGGGGTCACGGCGTCTGGAGGTGGCTTCCATGCAATAAACAGTGCCGCGAAGGACAGCACATGACGTAATGGTGCGCGGGCGGCAGGGGATGCCGCCGGTGGGACCGGGTCACCGTCGGCGGCCCGCTTGAACCCCGCCCGAGGCATAAACAGGTCGGCCGCGGCCGCCACCTGTTTGCTTACAGAGCGGTCGGCGGCTGCAGTGGAGTCGCATACCGAGCCGGCCGCGGCCGGCGACACGGTGCAGCTGTTGCTTGAATAAACAGCGTCCGCTGCTGCCCCCCGGCCGCCGGGCGTGGGCGGTGGCCGGCTGGAGGGGGGGGGGGGGGGGAGGGTGGGAGGGCGGGAGCGAGCGGGAGTGGACGTCCGACAGGTCACGGCCCATTGTGTCCGGAGAGAGGGCGGAACGGAATAACGACGGAATTTCCGGCCCCGCGGCGGCGGCGGCGGTACCGGATGCAAGCCTCCAGACGGCGGGCGGGTGTTGCTGCAAACACACACTCGCCTTGACTATGCTGAGGAGCGGCGTATTCGCGTCTCCGCATAGCTGTGGACAGGATCCCTGGAGGGCTCTACTTTTGTATCTGACTTTGGACACGGCTGCGGTGGTCCTGGTGAGGAGTGTAGGCTGCGAATGGTCCATTTTGTGATGGCAAAGGGCTTAAGGCTTGTGTGTGCACATGCGTGATTATCATTACTCAAGAAGCAAACTCATTATCCTTATGGTTTTGCACCCAAGAACTTTCTAACGGAGCTGTCCACTCATCTATTCACTGTCCGGTCTAATCGCCCGTGCAATGCAAAGCTGAGACTTCTACATTTTGGTACAGTGAGCAAGTCAAGAGGGAAGTGAATAATCGTGGAACTTTACAGCACGGGGGAACTGTGGGCGTTTAGAACAAGTGACTCCAACTTATATGAATCAGAAAATAGCAGAAACAGAACGTTTTAAAACAACAGCTTAAAGGGAATGTTCCGCAGTTGAGGATATTGAAGCATCATATATGGTAAAATAAGCTCACTGATAACTTTTCGCATAGTTTTAAGTAGACAAGACTGTTCAGCTAGCGCCATTGCTCTGTTGAGTAATATGCTGCTCAATACATAATTTGTATTATCATCGTACCATGCACAACATATCATTATATCTGGACATTATATCTGGACAGTCGTTATATCTGGAAATTGTGCACATGAACACAGCATACGAAGGACTCGACAACGATATTTTTCTTAGCCTTGACTACCGCATCGGCACTGAAATGGTAGGATCTGAATGACTTAACTATGGCCTCATAGATTCCTGGGTGAATTTGAACAAATATTCTGTTTTTTTCAAAATATTCTGTTTTTAAAATAACAGTTTTCACAAAATATTCTGCACATTCTCTTGAGCGTGTAGCTCAGAAACTAAAGGGGTTTAGGTCTTAAGAGGGAAGGACTGTTCACAGCACCAGAAGGTCTTCAAGATGGCTATTTCACTTAAAACCTCATATCAATGTGCAGTACTTCCCTTAAAACAGATATTAAGTCAGTCTCACTGGGGTAAGGTGAAGCATGACCCGGTTCTCCCGGCTGGGAAAAATGGAGCATAAATGACACGTGCCCATCGTATACATTGATGTAACGGGAAACACATCGAATATGAAGCAATGTAATTTTCCGCACTATGCACATCATTATGCAATAAAAAGAAAACATGAAATGATGATAAAACGACACGTCTGCAATCAGTGTGGCGAAGAATAAAAATGCATTGATAGTCATAGATGTTGCTGCGTTCCAAAGTTGAGCCAACAACTGTTTGCGTCGTAAATATCATGAAACCACCACGCCGTATGGTCAAAGCTGAAAAGGGACGCTTAAGCAAAGCAGCACATTTTTCTGGTGCTGCTCTACAATTTGACCAAAAAATATGACGTAAAAATCGTTTGGGTGCCGCACTTGGACGCGATCAAAGCCTTCATAGCCTATCCGACTTGCTAAAGAAAGCTGAATTTCTAGTTGAGTCTCCTGATCCTGGCTCACTTCAACTCCACGCAGTGCGACGAAAACCCAGCCAATGAGATTTCTCGGTAATCACCGATCTTCGGGCCGGGTGGCTCAGTGTGCCGTACTACACGCGAGCATTGCGGTACAGGATACTCTCCAGAAGATGCGATGTCCCAGCCTCTAGCGTTCATTACGTGCACTCTACTTTTATTACTCGTCACTAGACTGCGCTAGTGATACGCATGCGTGCTCTTGGAGTTAAGCTAGGTATCGCCGTTCCTGGCTTCGCTTGCATCCTATTTGTTGCATGATTGATGGTACAGAGAGTAAAAGAAAACGGCTATTTCGTTAAATTTTGTTTCGGTTAGGTACAATGCTGGGGTGGGAGTCTGACCGAAACGAAAATCATATTTAAAACAAGTGTGATCTAGTCCTTCCCTCCGGTTATTTGCGGGTGTCAGTTTCATCGGGTGCATACAAAATTCATATTTGGATCCCTCTCAATCAATATCCAACACCTTTGCGCAGTGTGGGTCCAAAGTTCTCTAGGTAACGGTGCCACAAGAGCACTTGCGTATTCCTGTCCAGAAATACGGATAGGTCCTACATAGAATTGGTGTCGCTATGCATAGAGGTGTTGTGTCTAACATGCATGGCTGCCAATTTTAGCTTAAGTCCAGAAAAAAACTGGTTTGTTATGTCCGAAATGTCCAATTCGCTCAGGATCGTCACCCACTCCAGCAAAGCCCCATATCTGATGGTGTGTAGTGGAGTAGTGATTTTACTTCATCTCCTGGACGCTAATTGTGCTTCTTGCGCTAATCACGTGTTACGCTGGGCTGCTAACACCCCATGTGTTTATAGCGGGAATACAATGAGTGCAAAGTGCCGATTTCGTTCCTAATAAAGGTTGATAGTACCTTCCATATGAAGCTAACTTAGGAGCGTTTTCAAAGTTCGTTCCTTTCAGTTCGTTGGCTCAAGAATGACGTTGACGGTTCTGTGCAGGTCATGGATCCAATATCGCGACTAGTTTGACCATTCTCGATTGGAAAGTCATGCTGCTACAGAGTGTCACTCGTTCGGCGTCTTCCATGCACCAGCATCAGCTGGCTCCATTTCCAGAGAAGAAATATGGCCAAGTGGCAGGTGGTCAAACGTGGAATAAGCGGACTAATCAATGTCTAACGCAATGTCTACACGACTTTACTCAAATGTAGCAACTGCTCGATCTGAATACAGCACAACACCATTAGTCATTGGTTTTATTGTCTGATGTGTTCGCAACGAAGATGTTCCGTCATTTTCTTGTTGGAAGTGCCTGTTTCATCAACAGCGACTTTGCGTGTCATCCGGTTTACCGTGAGGCCAGCTGACCCGCGCGCTTGGTGAGCAGGGTGGGAGTGTCCGGATTTTCTCCAACGTGTCCGTGATTTATTCTGCATGCAAGTATTTCGCCGCCCGTTTTCTGCCGCGTGTGCTGTGCCACAGACAAGCCCTGACTGCTCGCGCGATGCTGTGGCATCAGTGCTCAGGCTACTTGAGAGGCGTCACCGCAGCGTTGATCTGTCTCCACCAGGCGGATCTGAGACCATGGCGGAATCTGGGACCATGGCGGATCTGGGACCATGGCGGATCTGGGACCTGCGCGGGCCCACAGCCACCTCGCCTGTTCGGCGCAGGCTCAGAGAAGCCTAACTGCACTCTGGCGGCCTCCTTGCAAAACACAGGGGCTGCGCGCGCATGGTTGCGTGCCCCTGGCGGCGAGCTCCAGAACCTCTTGGCGCGGAGGAGGTTGGCGGCGCACTCGCCGCCCTTCTGCTGCCGAGCGGTCCGCACCGGACCGGGAGGCCACCCCACTCACCTGCCTCACGTTTGGGCTGCGTGAAAAAAATGCCAGCGTACACATGACTTCGAAATAAACGGCTGATAAACAGTGCGTCAACTTGGTAAATAAACACTGGGCCAGAAAATCAAAAAAATTATTTTTATCAGCAGAGGTATCCGACTTGGTTGCTTTGATACCTGACAAATCGCATTCAGTACACACGAAACCTATCCCCCAACCCCTTACGAAAGCCGTCCACACCTACTCCACCCAGAGCTGCCTGCAGGGCCGGGCCTTCCGCCGAGCGCGCACCGGCTTGGGGACTCACCGCAGCGTCGGCCGTCCGAGGGACCCGGAGCAGCAGCAAGAGGGCGGCCAGCGCGAGCGGCAGCCAGCGCGCGGCGGCCATCCTGTCGCGTGTCACAGACGGACGGGGCGGCGGCGCATGGGGCGGCGCGGTCACCGAGCCGGGGCCAGCACGCTCCCCCCGTGACTGGGGCGCTCACTGATCTGGGCGCGCGCCACGGCACCCGGCCGGCGCGCGGAGGACCACGCCGCCGCTGCTCGGGGCGTGGCCTAAGTCAAGCTGGCGCTCTGGCGCGTCTCGCGACCCAGCTCGGTTTCAAGTGTGTACGTTTTGTCGCACGGTGTAACCCTACGTGTTCTTTGACAGGTCTCGACCTCGCCGCTAGCGACCTGGAGCGCCGCGAACCGGCACTATATTCTCGTGGGCGGGTCTCGCCGTGCTCGTGGCCGTCGCTGGCGGCCGGCCGGCGCGGCCCGGCAGAGTGGGGCGGCGCGCGCCGACACTGGGAGCTGGTCCGCTCGCTGCCGCAGTCGGCGCCGCGCGCACGGCAAACGCCCGCGCGCGTCCCCCAGCGCCACCGGCAGCCCGCTCCTCTCATGCTGGCCGGCTAGGCATGCGCTGAAGTGAGCGTCGACAGCCGAAGTGATCATGGAGCGCGTCAGAGCGCCCCTGCTGCTGCTCGGGTGAGTGGATCGTCCGGCCGCCAGCTGGCCCTCAGTCGGATCCGAGCCACGTGCCGTTCGCGAACAGGTGCTATGGTTCCCACTGGTGCAAAGCTGCACGCAACGCCTGGCGCGTGGCCAGGAGCAGCGCCGGACGGGCCTCGCGATGCTCCTTTCGGCTTGAGCGTGACGCCAGATGTGCAGACGGATTGGGTGCAGTCATAATTAAGTGCGTGCAGATTCTTTTGGTGATTACTTCCTGGATACCTTCCCGTGCATTAATTTTGTCCTGTGACGCACAAGCTATGGTCGGCTTAGCAGGCAACAGCACGGTGTTAGTTTTAGTCTTGAGCTCGCAGATGCATCAGCTTAACGGCACATGAACGCACATTTTGAACCCCGTTCTGCTAGCATACCACGGTGTATGCTGCGTTCTGACAGCCGGCAAAACGGAAGGGCTCGTTTCAGTTTCTCAAACCACTTAAATAAGACAAGAGTGATTGCATGTATGGTCTGAGGTTTAATCAAGTGAACATCACACTGGGTGAAAATTCGTATCAAGATTTAATCAATCAATTCGCTAGTCCGTGTGTTTTCAATCCATGCGTCTCACTTGCCCATCTTTATTGCGCTGCATGCATTTTTTCAGCACCAGGTACATTTAACGTTAAGTACTGAATTTCCTAGCCTAAAAAGCGCTCTCCCTTTCTTTGCAGCGTGCAGGATAAATATAGCAAGCGTGTTTATGTTTTCTATACATACAAGCAAATCAAACTGGTCGCCTACTCATCTCCAATTCACATGAAATTAATAAAATCCAGATCGGCTAGCAATCGCACCAGAGAATCTTGTTCAGGCCTTTTGTGAGTCATCCAAGGAGAGACTGGGGCTACGCAGTGCGTTTCCCTCGCTTAGCGGGCTCAGCAAAGCAGACCCTTAATATGATATCCATGCTGGCTAGAATGCGGCCAAATCTTGTAGCAAGCGCATTTCACCATATGCCGACCTATAGTCACAACTTAGGTGCCCTCTCCCCTTTGCATGGGGACACGAGAAGTCAGGATGGATCCACACCCCAGTGCGACACTCCGTCTCGTGTACAAAACAGCTCGGAGTTCGCAGGAAGCCATGAGGCTCCGGATGTGCATCTCGCGGAAGCTTAAGGGCGGCGGCAAGTCACGCGTTATTGCATCAATTCTCAGTGCATGGTGTCGGAATACGTCAGGTCTGTCACCTTGCTGTCGCGCTCAGCACAGAAGGACCTCTCATTAGTGACACGTGACGGCAACGCTGAAGTAAAACGCTAAATCAAGCACATACATCCGCAGCGCAGGTCGGCGGTCATAACCGGTGTAATATACGTCAGATTGACCTGCAATATTTTTACTGGGTTGTCAACGTAGAATGCGATGGCCACAGGCGTAGGGGCTGGGAGAAGCACGAGACCACGGCCTTCCCACTCCCGGCACAGTCAAACATTGGGCTTCCAGAGATGGTGGAAGGGCGGACCACAAAAAGGGACTTTGCTTTTCCGTTTTTGGAAACGTTTTCACCCCGGCAGTCAGTGACGTGGCCAGAATTTCGTCTATAAGGGGGCCAAATTATGGAATTTGGACCTAGGATCCCATTTTGGTGCATTGCGGGTTGGTTTGTTTCAGAAGCCCTCCGGACGTTTTGCAATGCCAGGCAGTACTGAGGCCTTCGCCCGGTGGGGGGGGGGGGGGAGGAGGGACAGGTCTCGAAAATCCTCTCCCCTGTGTACGCTACTGCGGTAGTGGACTCTTCTTTGTTAGAAAGATACCATCGCAGTTATCTTTGAAATTTCAAACATGAATTTCAAACAACAGGTAAAGGCGTACAAGTTTTATACAGGACATCTAGAAAACAAAGTACCTAAATAGCACAAGCTCTTCTCAGTTCAATCAGGTAAGAATTATGTCCTGTTGGTTACCAATACTCCCGTAAGAAAACAATAAATGCGTAGCAAAAATGCTTTACCCTGGAACTTTGAACGCTGCTTCTTACATAGCTAGACGGGAAACATTTAGATACATGGTAACTCAGGTGCAGGTACCTTTTCGGTGAACATCTGAGTCATGATGGTATCACCCCTGATGATCTGCACTGCAGTCAAACGACTGTGCTGATATGTATGCACCTGTTTGTGAGCTTCTATTGCAAATCATTTATATATATATATATATATATATATATATATATATATATATATATATATATATACAGCATGCACACCTTAGCTGAACCGGTTGCTGACATGATCAAGATACTTTGCCATGAGCGATGAAAGCTGTCCAGAGCTAATTGGCTTCAGAAGCACTTTGAATTTATATCTTTTCGTGCGCCGCCATAAGCGCAACGCTAAATAATCCCAAATATTGGGAAGGCTCAAGCCCCCCCCCCCCCTGAAAAGCACATAATTTGACACGGTGCTCCCACAAGTTGCTAGGGAGATAACCACTGCCCATTCTTTGAACTATCCCTGTTGGGCTTAGAGATGATTGTTGTTCTTTTCTGTGCAGTTGCTCGATATAACAGAAAATGTTAATGACGCACCAGTCTCACCGATGATTAAAAAGAAGCTCACTGGGACGATATCATAGGTCAAAAGTTAGAACCGGGCTACATATTTCACATACAATAAAATGTAACGGCTTGTGTGGAATTGGCTGAATTAGAAACAAAAAGCTATTTGAAAACAGGGTTTGAAACTTTCGGGACGCCCGAGGTGCATGCGCGCTGACACAACGCAGGAATGAATGACCCACGCATAATTCGACAGTTTTTTTAGTTTGCTTTCCATCGGACTGCTTAACCCAAATTCACAACACCATCTGCTAGCCAAATGATGTTTTAGTGTCGCATGCTCAGAGGCAGAGTTGACTCCCGAGCAATAGATAAGCCCGTGCGTGCTCGTATGATCCGTTGGAAGCGGCCGGGGCGGACAATCATCGAAGCTGAATCGTACCATCCGTAGCCTGAAAGGTCAGTGATTTCAAATGTCGAGTTTTTTTCGAAAAATCTATCCAGCGTGTTTTCCTTAACACGTGCTGCGGCGGCGGGCCAATTTGACCCCATCTCCCGAAAACTGCTATGAAATCATTTCCGAGCGCTTCTGCGTGCCGCACCAAACTTTGCGGATCGTTCGGTATGAAAAGTAGACATACCTTGTAATGTGCTGATCTATAGCAGGCGAAAGTCAAGCCACGGTTGTCAGCGAGAGCAATTTGTAGGGATCCGTCAAATCTGATTGGACAACAGAGTGTTAAACAAAGCCAAAGACCTATGACATAGTTTCATAGACCATCAAACAATTGAATTTAGGATAGAAGTAAATTACTTTGCCTAGGGTCAGATATAAGGGCCAGACAGAGGTCAAAACCAACCTGCTTTTTTACTGAAAAGCTCGCTTTATGGGGGTAGTTGGTGGTAACAGGGACCACAACAGACATCTTCCATGAACTTCCCACAGGTCAGAGTAGGTCACTGATATGAACTGACCCAAGGAAACCCTTGGTCTTAGGAACGTACCATCCAGCGTTATCTTTTGCATTTGTCCGTCCGTCCCGGTGGCTCAGTCCGTCTTGGTTAGAGGGCCTGCCGTCCGATCCACCCACACGTGGCAGGGTGGGTTCGAGTCGCTTTAGGGCGCTCGCTATTTGCCCTTGGCATGTATGGTCTGCGGCCGGTGGCAGCGGTCGCGCTAAAGGTCAGTTGACGTCAGAGGGCAGGACGGACCGTGCCGAGCATTGCGGCACGTTAAGCTTCCGCCACTAAATTCTGCCGTTGCCTGGAATTGCGCGATCGGATGGTGGGGGCCAGGGCTCACACAACAAGCTCTGCTTAGCGTCAGCGCTGATCCCAGAAATCCATCCATTCAAAGGGTTCTGGTCAAATTTATTTTAAAAAATTTGCTCATTTTTCCTGAATTAAGACGGTGCCGTAAGTTTTTGATCATCATGACCTTATAAAGATCAAACAAGCAAATGAGCATCGATGACCTTTTGCTTAGAACCGGTATCTAAGTTCCAGATGATTGCATGAGGAGGTCTGTGGCACTTCCGACGCCATTCTTGAATTCGACCGTGTTTGACCTGATTTAAGCCAACATGATTTGGTTTAGAAAAAAATATTCGTACCTGCTGTGATAGTGCCAATAACCTTCAAGTAACCATCTGTCAGATCTAATCACACTTCTTAAGGTTCTAATCCAGTGGCTATCACCGATATATTCAGTCCTGAAATCTTGTAGATAAAAAATTTATCGTTCTTTTGTGGGCAAAAAAAGACATATTTTCTCTTCTCTCGAACATTTGCTGAATGTTTAACAATAAGGTACTGAAACTTGTCAAGTCACTAAGCCTTATCACGAGCTCTAAGCTGGAAGATGATCGCGTCCCTAAATAGCGTGTGAAGCGCGACCAGTTTTCCTTCTTTTTGTCTTAGTTTGCTGAGTAGCTAACCTCTAACCATGGCTTCTCAGATATGGTGGCGGGTCAAAGCTGCGGTAGCCCCTGATCTCTCACTACAGAGTGAGCCGTCACATTTCCAGCTTTATGTGACGGGAGAGCGCGTGAATAGCCCATTCGGTGCTTGGTAAAGGGTACGTTTAGACTCTGACAGAAAGGAGGAGATATAACAGTAGAAAAGACATCTCTGACAGTTTGACGATTGAGCATGTACACCTAAGGATGACAACTGATTGGATACTACTTGCTATGTTCTTTCAAACTGACATGCAACATTTTTAGCTTTGTGTTGCATCAATGTTCGCTATTGGGGAGTTGCTCGGGACCAATGAGGTTGTTAAACCCATGAGAACGCGGTGACTTTGACACCAAGTCGTTGGAGCCAAATGCGTTGGCGATATCATTTCAACGGAACCTGACGGAAGGCGATCAGGGCCTCAAGAGGCTAAGCCTTTATTGCGCTCAACGTGATGAGCAGCGTTATGTTTACATAACAGATGATGTCGCTGAGCATCACAGCTATCAGAATACCAAACATGATGATATTAGTCGCCGCCGATTCAATCAAAACTCGTCATCAAATTATGCAATGCAACATTTGAGGATAAAGCGGCATATCTTGAATGAAATGCAAACTTTGGATCATCCGGAGTTCTGCCTTCGCATGGTGGCAGCCATGTTCGGTGACCAGTCTGTCTGCTTCCAACTGGCCAAGCTCGGTGCTCGTATCCGGAAGGCCAGTCAGGGGGAAGGGGGTCCGAGAGTCCCACGCCGGGACATCGAGATGGCAAAGTGTCCATTTTTTCGTGCTGTCGCCTCCTCGCCTTGTTGACCGGGGTATGCCCACGGCGGTAAGCCGCGAGGTGACCTGTCTAGGCCGCGAGCCCGGCTGGCAGTGGCCGTCTGAGGTCACCCGCGAGAGGCGACGCAGGGGTGACAGACATCATGCGGTCGCGATGCGCCCGTCTGTGCTACCACCGCTCGGATGCGCCGAAGCAGCGTGACCACACGCCTTGACCAGACAGTGACGCCGCGTGACCACACGCCCTGACCAGACAGTGACGCCGCGTGACCACACGCCCTGACCAGACATTGACGCCGCGTGACCACACACTCAGACCAGACAGCAACCCCGCGTGACCACGCGCTCAGACCAGACAGTGATGCCGCATGCCCACACACTTGGACCAGACAGTGACGCAACGTGAGTGTGATGCGATGACGCGGTAGCCCTGCGCCAGCGTAACTCGGCCCTGGCCAACTGCAAATCGGCCTCCCTTGACGAACTAAATAATCGGGCGCTATTTCTGCGATGTGCGGTCACGTATATTGTTCGCCACCCCATGCCAGTCAGGTGTAACGCTGTAATCAATTCGTCGTGAATGCATGGAACTGACCGAAGTTAGGTTGGTCTTGGTTCAATTTATTTTAAGGCTGCTCTCAGCGACACATAGTAATATTGTGTCAGCAACGTTGCATTGGAGCAACATGTTTCTTCCTGGATTTTGATAAGGTCATCTTATTTATTTTACTTTTATTGGGCTTAATCAAGTCCAAAAGGTCCTTCTCTTAGCCACCATATCTATCAGTAATCGTCTCCGTTTTGCATGCACTGATGCAATTACTAAAACGTCCTGTTATGTGCCCGCCTAGACCGTTGTCACACACTTGTAGCCTCCTGATTGTCCGTGTGTGTACGCTTGACACGTGGCTAATCCTTGTCCGTTTTGCAGGCTGCTAGTTGGAGTTTTATCCTGCGTAGTTGTACTGGCCGAGCCGGTAAGTACTGGATATATCGCACACATGATAATAAGGTAGTAGTGCATTGGCTGCAAAACTATGATTTCGTGAGGCATTCCACTCGGCAGCTCATAAAAGCATAAGATGAGCTGCGCTACTGGATTGTGATGACTTAATACACAATGCAACGTAGTGCAGATTGTAATTACGATGGTAAAATGACAAAGTGGTAATTGGTGTCTACCCGTGCTGGTCAAATATACTTGACGTCGAACGTCATGCAATCATTTGTGTCATGACTGGGAGGCACCGTTAAAACAGTAATGCCATTTATCCATGGGATAGCAATCAGTATCTCAACCAGAGCCTTGCAGTCAGTCGTTACACAAACAAATCTCAGAATCGTAATTTTGTTGTCACTAGCAGAAGCCAGAGGAACGGCGTTCCAGCGTTGAACTGGGCCTGTTTGCAATAACATTTCTTACGGAGCTCGCACTGGCGATTGCCAACACATGATCGGCAGAGCAGTGTTGTTAGCCGAATGGCCTACTGCCGGTGCCGCGTTTGGCAGGTCGTCAGCGGGGCTGAAGAACCCTCTCCGCTTTTTGTCGAAGCATTGGTCTAGCCGTGAGGGCGGTAAAAAGCACCGGCTGATTACGTGGTGTGAACGCGATGACACTTTCTGTCGAGCGGATGCTGGGGGTGCGCAGCTTCTTGCAGCTGGGTGGCTGCGCTTTTTTAAACGGCTGAGGAAGTTTCATCATAAAACGAAAGTTGTGGACGTCTTGCTGGAATAATTTTCCAGCCAGCGTGATTAGCTTGCCTACTTTTGGTTTGCCGTTACCCGAAAGCAGGTCACATGATATAGACGGTAGGTGATATATCCATGATATTGCTTTAACATGAACTTGCCGCAACGTTGGACATGATCGCTCCGACAGGTGCAGTGTGCACATTACACAGTACATCCATTTACGCTTCTATTTCGAATAAAACGTATGAAGAACGGAATGCATTTCTTTTCGTTTTATTGCAAATGCTTTTATGCAACGATGTAAGACGGAAGACCCTATCTTGTTGAGTTTAAACTGCAAACACTGTCTTGCATGGGGACTGTTTGGCTTCAAGTTTGGATGTTTGCACTAGATAATGTTTCCGCTGACAGAGGACAGTTTATTATTGTTCAGTTTGCTTGGTTACCGGACACCGCGAAAAAGTAAACAATAGAAACCGTCTTTACAAAAGGTTAACACCCACTCTAGCATTTTTAAAGTTATTATTTGCATCGCGCTTGATCCAAACTGGAATAATTTGCCTTTGAATAAATGATAACATTGGCAGGTACTTGCCGCGCACACGTACCAGGCACCGACGTGTTGGCAATACTCAGCCATCTATGCAGTGTTTGCTTCCATGTTGTTTCCGTTCGTGAAGCAACCGGCAAATACATTTGTCCCCGGAATCGTAATACATTTGATGGCCTTTCGAGCCCGTGCGCGTCGGATAGTGCATAATCCCTGCAAAGTTGTCTTTTGAAAGCTGTGGTGAGGGCACTGGAACTGGCTGAGACGTGACTAAAAAGCCGTCTAGATGCGTTTTTTCATAACACACTATATGCCGTGCATAATGCGAGAGTTGCAGTTTCTAAAACATGTCCGACATTCTCGCAAGAACTAGATGCGTTTGGATGTTTCGCCGCGATACTCGTTTCTGGAAATATCTTCGTTGAAGACGAACTGACCTTGAATTGACGTTGACAATGTTTGACAAATAGTCCCCGTGGTCCGCCATAGTGCAAGATTGCAGTGCTACAAAACTTGGCTTTTTCCTGGGAGCGGCGTCTTGCTGCTGTAAATTGTGCGCGGACAAGGTCCAGGCGATATCTCAGTAAAACAACGTATTCGGGCAATGCGCTCTGTTTGTTTTTCGTCTGTGGTAGAGGAATTGGTCTTGGGCATGTATGACGCGTCTTCTTTCTTAACTTCTCTGTTATCGCCAAGATGACAACCGATGTGCGGCCTGTTACGCATGATGCTGTTTGCCGGGCTGCGTGAGCCAGTGCGGCACAGTTTTCCATTACTCAGAAATTTGCAGCCCATTTTCAGTGGCCGCTTTTGAACAGGTGACGAAAAGACTATTCGTGCTGCGTACATTGCGCATCCGCGTTGACGTAGTGTTACGATTTCCTATCCCACTGACATTATTGTTACAATGTGTGCACTTACAGCATTATACGCAGTTTCGGCGCTATGTCATGGGTACAACCGAGGTGCTCTCGACACCACAAGCGTCTGAGCTTCAGTGGGGTCAGCCGAGTCGGGCCCGGCAGGCAATGGCCCATGTTGTCCGTTTGCGGACCCGGTCCGTCGAGGCGGTCAGGCTGTCGCCGGACCAGGGACCGACGACGGGTGCTCTGTTTGTCGACGGACCAGGGACCGAAGGCGAATGCTCTGCTTGTCGCCGGACCGGGGATCGACGACGGGTGCGCTGTCTGTTGCCGGGCCAGGGACCGACGGCGGGTGCTCTGTTCGTCGCCGGACCAGGGACCGAAGGCGGGTGCTCTGCTTGTCGCCGGACCGGGGATCGACGACGGGTGCACTGTCTGTCGCCGGGCCAGGGACCGACGACGGGTGCTCTGTTCGTCGCCGGACCAGTGACCGACGACGGGTGCGCTGTCTGTCGCCGGACCAGGGACCGACGGCGGGTGCTCTGTTCGTCGCCGGACCAGTGACCAGGGACCGACGGCGGGTGCTCTGCTTGTCGCCGGACGGTGTACCGACGGCGGGTGCGCTGTCTGTTGGACCGGGGCGGGCTGTCCGGCCAGGGTCCGGTCCAGAGCCAACGGGGGCGGGGTGGGGGCGGGGGCGGAGGCGGGGGCGGATCAGACGGCCCCCGCAGCGCCAGATGGCCCTCATGCCACGTCCGCTGGCCTCGACTGCAGTGGCCGTCCATGCATTCCGCGGACGGACAAGAGGGTCATGCGCGGAGTGGGCGAGGGCGCCGCGACACGTGCCAATGGGCGGCTCAGCCGGCTGCATCGTAAATAACGAAACCGTCGTGGCATCCGAGGAGGGCGGTGCCCGGCGCTGCGGCCTGCGGCGCCGGGTCGTGGGGTCCACCCGGCCGGCCGGACGGGGACGCCTCCATGGCCCCGTCACCGCGTCTGCCGTCGCCAGGTCAGCGCCCGCGGCCGTGTGGGACGGCTTCCTGGAGGCGGCACGTCACCGGACGCCGCGCGGCGAAGTCACCGTCGGCGCGCCAGACGCGTCCAGCCGCGCCGCCGCCAGCTGGCGGCCGCCGCCGCCGCCTGCACGTTGCACAGCTGCGGACGGCGGCGTGCAGCGCTGCAGGCGGGCGCCCTCTGGCGACGGCTGCCAGCAGCTGACAGCTCGGCGCGGGCCGTTTCGCGGAGCCGGGGTCGGTTCGCGGGATTGCGGCGTAGTTCTGGCGGCTTGGAGATCGGGGGCGGTGGCTATGGCGACTGCAGTGCGGTTGGTGAGATCACAGTCCGGCGCTTTGGCGCCGCGGGAGCTGAGCTTGTTCAAAAGACCGGCGGACCAGATGGGACTACACTGGAGTCCAGGTCACGCATTGCTCATGAACCCACTTCAAATGACTCGAAAGATCGTGGGTTGGCGCTCATGAGGCGGGCCGGGCGGCCAGTGCTGGAAGGGGGCGTCACTGATCTGATCAGCAGATCCGCGCCTTATGGGCGGACAGGGGCTGATCTCCTGTCGTCCCACGCACCTCCCCGCACGCCACGTTTCAGTCCAGGGGCCATGCGCATGTCACTGACGTTTCGGTCGTGCCAGAGCGGCTGTCAGCCAGCAGCTAACAGATCGTTGTCCGTCGTGGCGAAAGCCGACTTGCTGACCGTCCCACGCAGCGGCGATGGCACTGGCTCCAGGTGCTGCCCGGTTCTGTGCGGCACCACGCAGGAATAACAGCGGCACCAACACGCGCAGGCCCGGGCGTGCGAGTGCCTGTGCCAACCGGGGCTGCGCCAATAAAAAACTAGCGCTGCTTAAAGCTGCACCAACAAGAGGCCGCGACGTAGGGGGTTCGCAAGGGGAGCGGTCTAGACCATTCAGATTGAAGGTAGTTCCCTTCAGATATAGCCTTCGGTGCGGGATTGGCCCCGAAGGCACGACATGACTCTGGGACTCAGGAGCAGTCCTCTGACCCCCGGACCCCGTACATTGGGATGGGTCCGTCGTATGTATGCGTGCTACGGTCGACATCCTAACAGCAAACGTGAGGTGAGAGCTTCCCCACAAGGGGGCGAGCATGAACTTGAACAGAAATGTCACCGTGGTGAAGAACCAGAAATGTAGAGCAGATTATCTTGCGTCATTGAAAACCTTGTGATGTCTTGCAAAGTCCGTACACAGCTATGAGGCAAGTGATTCGACCATGGTTAGTTGGAAGACACCTTGAATGAAACAATATTTGCGAGTGTGGCTTGAACCTTTTTTAACCGTTATGCCGATATTACATGACCATTGGCACATCCAAAAGCATATTCGCGACATCGCGCTTGACAATAGCAGTCTCATCACTTCCTCCGCATCACCTGCGAGCACTCCCGCTGACTGGACCGTGCTTCCTGTTCGATCCACGCGCGTCCGCTACCAGTCCACATTCGTGGCTGACAGTTGTAAACCTGTCGTTGTAAAAGAAGTGTAAATAAGCCACCAATCCAGCCTATATTGGTCCGGTCGAGGACCCACCTCCCCACTCAGTGGCCGGGGAGCTGGCGGCCAGATCCAAAGCCATGGTACAGGCGCTTGGAAAGCGGCGCACTATTTACTCAGGGCTTATCTGCGCGCGATAGCCGCCTCATTCAGCGCCTGTGCGGGCGATAGCGGCGCATGCCGATCCACCGAGACGATAGCGACGCGGATCGCGGCGCTCGGCGCCACTCCAGCGCCGTCCGAGGTCAGGACAGAGGACAGCTCGTGAGTGACGTCCCGCCCGAAATCCCGTGACCGAGTCCTCTCCCTCTCTCGAGGTCAGGACAGAGGGCATCTCGTGAGTGA